TTTTTTTTTTGCAAAAAATATAACAAGAAGCAAGAAAACAGTTTCTCAAACAGAATTATGAATCAATCTGCAAAGCAAAACAAGCAACAAGATGTCTCAAACAAATCCTAAATCTTCTTTTCCAAAAATAAGGTTTTGAACTTCACAATCCGCCTCCACCCAAAAAAAGCTTTTGCAGGGTCCGACGTAGAGAAATAACAATCACCAAACAGCTTCCCTCAGCCATTAAGAAAGGCATATTATCTCATTTTTCTTTATACAAAAGAAGCAGGTGCTGTCCCTTTCTTCTTTTGGTTTCTGTGCATGATATAACTCGCGGAACAAAGCATATTTGATCTCCATACTTTATACGGCCCCATTGGGGGAAGCTCCCGTCTAGAATTTGTTTACTTTGTTTGAGTGGACGAGGAAGTACGTTAGAATTTTGCATTCTTCTTCGGTTTTGACATTTTTTCAACTTTTATATAGATAATGTAAGTATGTTTTGAGTTGGATGATATCATAACAGCTAATAAATGATTATAAATGAATTTTGCATGAACTTACAATTTGTCATGAAAAATCTTGATTTTCCGTAATGTTATATGGACTTCTATAGTAATCTTCGTTTGAGAAGACGGTGCACCTCCTTTGCGTTGCCGTGAATGTTGAAGGATAAAATAATAATTTTCGTTTGGTGAAGCAGCATAGCATCTACCAAGCTTTTCTTGATATTATTTCACAAAACGGTAAATTTTTACCGTTTTAGATCACATGTGATCTTCGTTTCCACCAACTTGACTTCCAAAGAAACTTTACCGAATAGCCAGCAAAATTTTTGCTTTTAGACGAAGCCTTGTTATGCTTACTTGACTTAGAAAACTTTGTGGACGAGTAACATTTACTTATTCCCAACATTTGAATGCCTCAACATCCGAGTATAACAATCGTTTCTAGAGAGAAAGCTATTCATAAACATTGCATGCCTCAAATAATAGTGATGATCAAGAAAGTCAAATTATTATAATTTTATAGGGACTTAGTTATTTGGTCACTATTATTAGTGTCAATCAAAGGTAGACATTAGTGTTGGTCAACGATAGGTGTTGCATTGGTCCATGATGGAAGTTTATGTTCTTCGATGACCAATATTTGATTGTGCATATGATATATGTTCAATTTTATCATCTAGAGCTCTAAATTTTCTTGAAATCCAAAATTTCATCAACCAAAAATTTCACTTAGTCCACCGAATGTGAAAAAATATGATATAGGTCATTCTAATCCTTCTTCTCCATTATGTTCTATTGAGTGTCATTCTTTTATTTAATTCTAATAAATTAAGATCTTTTTTATACAACATGCCCGTGCCTTTTTAGGTCTACATTTACATTTGATAGCATAAACCGAATCTAAACCATCTATCCTCCAAACAGGGTCATCAGATGGTCCACATTTAAAGTGACCAAACAATCCAAGATGACTCTCTAATCGTGTCAACCACTAGAGCTACTCCAACCCCTTTCACATTTTGACCAAAATTCAAGCTTAATCAAATAAAATTTTCATCAACATCCATACCTAGGTCCCACATCAACCTTCATTTAGCTTTACCAAAAATAAAAAATAAAAAATAAAACAAAACAATGTGCGGCTCTCAATTATTCTTAATCACACAATTAAGCAAATAACAATCAGGGTAATTGTAAATGGGAACGTTTAGATGTATATTTTATAAATAAAAAAAGGTTTTAAGTGTTCCAGCGCAACAAAATTAAAATAAAAGGTTGTGGACAAAAGGGTTCTCTAGCCATTAAAAGGGATTGCTTTCTTTTTAATCTTGGAATCTTCTTCTAATGATATATCACATCTTCAGAAAGTTCTCAAGCATGAATGTTGGCAACAAACTTTGCCCAATTGGTGCAAATGGAAGTTCCATTGTGCAATTTTTTCTTGCATTGAGTTACCAAAATAAACATCAGGATTCTTCTAGAGTTAACATAGAAATTGTCCTCCATGAACTAAATGATTTATTTTCAAATGCGTAACACATTAATTTAAAATAAAATAGTAAACCAAAATAATTGGATTTAAATGATTAAGGGTACATTTGGGGCAGCTTGTGCTTATCCATATAAGCAACTTATCTTGAAGCGCGACCCGCGGGTGGCCCGTGAGGTTCAACCCGCGGCCTGCGTTTAGTGTGAAAACCCAACCACGTTTTCAGATAAGTTGCCGAAACGTGTTTTTAAAACGGTGAGGCAGCGTTTTGAAAACCCCGCCCATACTTATAAACTGCCCCAAACAGACCCTAAGATGTCATAAAAAAAACTAATTAATTCTTCTATAAAAAAAATCTTTCTATTTTAAACAATATTTCTTTTAATGATTGTTATCCATCCTTTTAATGTTTGTTTTTCCTCCCGAGAAATACTCAGGATTCTTCACTTTAGTTCAAATAAATGTGTTATACAATCAAACAACCATTTTATGTTGGGGCAATTACATATAGACCACCCGAAACTTCCTATTTACAAATCAACCGCTCTCCATCCACTTTTTAAATTCTTGCTCAAATATCAAAATTCATGCTAAAACCCCCATCCAAAATTTTCATTTTTTATTAAATTCTCAAAAGTTTGATTGTGGCCGGCGTAAATACATCGATTAATTTGAAAAGATCAATGTTTCATATGATTTTTATGTACTTATCACTTTTATGTTTACTTAATGGCATCTATGTGACCTAAACATTAGATCAAGGAGCATTTATAGTTTACCAATAGAGAGCCCTAATACCTACTATGAGTGGAAATGATTTTAACTAGATCAATTCTATTATATAAGTTACATAATTTAAATGATAGGCATTCTAAAAAGATTGCTTATAACTAAATTGATTAAAAAAATGAAAATATTAACATAAATATATGAAAAATAAAAAAAAATTAAAATGAAGAATTAGGAATGCTAAATAAGGCGGTTGAAGTGACATCTTATCAAAACCTAGACGCAAATGATTGGAATAAATGTACCAATCAGAACAATAAATAAAATGAGTAAAAATTAAGAAAATAAAAAAAATACAGTAAGTTAAAAGTAATGGTGGCAAAGACTAAATGGGTCCATGTTCATACATGTAAAAGGTTGATTATAAATATAGTATGAGCACAAGGTAAGTTATATACGTAACTTGAGCAGAAAGTTAACTACAAATATTAAATCGATATGAGCATAACAAAATTAATCATCAATGCATTCAATAAAATAGACGCATAAGACCTCTAGATTAAAAACCAAGGAACATATTGCTCAAGCCAATGCTCTTTAATAACAAGTTCATCATATAATAAAGCTCCAAACCCTGCAAAGCACTATCAAATGAAAGATAATTTTGTACTTTATTATGCATGGATAGATAAAATACATAATTAACTATAAGATTAGATTGAATGGGAGCCATTACCTCTGTATTATGATGAAAGAAATTGGAATGCTAGTTTGATTCAAATGTAGAAGCACAAGATGCATACAATTATCTTCCTCTAAAGTAAAGTTTTACGGTTTTATGCCGTGTAGCATTTACATATTATTTTGACGTATAGATGCGCTTGAATTTAACAATCAAATGATTGAACAAGCATCATATTAGTTGGAAACAAATTGAAAAATTTGGAGTCATGTTCAGGTGCTCAACCTACCAAAAACTTATATGTACCGCAGCCTGTTGGTAGAGCAGCCTCTCCGAAGGTCGTAAGTTCTCTCAAGTCACGGGTTCGAATCTCCCCGTGTGTAGGGTGTGGTACTAAAATAATTAGCACACCTAGGGATAGTTCGGACTCGTCTAATAGCCTTCGACCATTCCTCTGAATATATATATATATATATATATAACCTTCACAAATCTTTTCGTGCCTCGTTCCCCAACTCTTTGGTTGACAACTGTCAGTTCTGAGTCCCCTGAAGTCGGGGGTTCGATCCCGCTGGGTGTAGACTGTGGTTAGGCACATGAGGTTGGTTGGGGGCTCGTCTCATAGCCTCCACCCAATCTTTAAAGAATATAATCTTTAAAGAATATATATATATATATATATATATATATATATATCCCTCTCCCACGCAAAAAAT